CTGAATAGTTCTCCCACTTTATTTAGTTTTTCAGTTCTGGAGATGGAACTCAGGGCCTTGTGCATGTTAGGCAAGTTCTCTACTGCTGAGCTGCATCCCTAGCCTAATTTATAGTTATAAATGTTGCAGGGTTTTTGTTTAAAGATCTGGTTAACATTTTCTAAAAAAAAAATCCTTTAAATGGGAAGTTTCTTCTCGCTATTACAGTTCCATCTTGCAGTTATTATATTTGTTCTTTGTTTTGGTTTGATATTAAAGGTCTGTCATCTAGCCCGGGCTGGCCTTGAACTCCTGATCCTCCTGCCTCTGTCTCTGAAGTGCTGAGCTCCCATCCTACAGTTATTTATGTATCTTTTTTTTTGGTCTTTTTGAAACAGGGCCTCCCTGTAGCCCCAGCTGGCCTGGAACTCACTATGTAGACCAGACTGGCCTCGAACTCACAGAGATCTGCCTGCCTCTCCCTCCCGAGTGCTGGGATTAGAGGCGTGCACCACCACGCCCGGCAGGATTCTTTTTTAAAAAATTGTATTTATTTATTTATTTAGTTGTTGCTGTTGGTTTTTTGAGAGAAGGTCTTCTAGCCCCAGCTGTTCTGGAATTTAGTATGTAGGTTAGGCTGGCCTCTGCCAAGATACCCCTGCTTCTGCCTTCTGAGTGCTGGGATTAAGGGCATGTCCCATCATATGACTACATTCATTTATTTGTTTATGTGCATTTGTACACAGACAGCAGAGGACAGTCTATTGGGATTCAATTCTCTCTCCTTCCTCTATCATGTGGGGCTGAGGGATGGAACTCAGGCTTGCCCACAAACACCTTTACCTGCTGAGTCATCTTACCAGCCTCCAGATCCTTAATTGTATCAACTGTTTATATTATTTTTTAATTTTTGTTTCTATTTTTTGTGTGTATGAATGTATTGCCTGCATGTAAGTGCACCCATATCTTGCAGTGCCTGCTGAGGTCAGAAGAAAGTGCTGGATCCCCTGGAACTGGAGTTATGGACGGTTGTTAGTTGCCAAGTGGGTGCTGGGAATCAAACTCAGGTCCTCTACAAGAGCAGTCAATGATGTTTTTAACCACCAAGCCATCTCTAGCCCTGAAAAGACTGCTTTTTTTGTTGTTTTTTTTTACACAACAGGTTCTTAGGGAATTTTGAGGGGTTGGGGGGTTTGAATCTAAGGCCTCAGGGATACAAGCATGTGCTCTACTGTTGAGCTGCAGGAGCCTGGTAGGGACCCGTGCAACCTATCAGAGTCTTTAAATAGAAGATATCAATAGATGTGCCATGTTGGTGGTAAATGTTGGTTTGTTAGTAATGGTAGTGTATAAGGCTGTCCCCTCACTGTCGTTTGGAAAGCCTTACATGTAAGGAGTCAGTGAGAGGGCAGTGCAGCTGCCATGATGAAGCCCAGTGCTGCTCAGAAGCCAGGAGTCCTGGCTAACCTCGGTATGTTCCTTGCTTGTGACTTCAGGCTGAAATGGGACACCCTACCCTGCTTTGGTGCCTGCCCATGATGGCTGGGCCTACATCGGACTCCCACTTCCTCAGCAGCTCACAGTAGTTATCAGAGACCTGCCTCGAACACCCAGGATGGCTGTGTCAGGCACATGAAATTGATCACTGGCTAATTGGGGAAGTGCAATTCCACGGGGGAAGTAAACATGAGGGATGGGTCTAGGACATCAGCTAGCACACCCTGGGAGCTGTGGCCTAGAGACTTACCCGTCCCACTTGCTGCCAAGTGACTTCTTTCCTGGGAAGCCAGGACATGAATGAATGGAAGGAGGCTTTAATCGTTGCCCCTACTGGTTCTTCCTTCTGGGGAAGAGCCATGTGTCTCTGCTCTGTGGGGTGAAGGGGAGAGGCACAGCCAATTCCATGGGCACAGAAGCAGCTACAGTTGCTAGGGTGGGTGGGTCACACTGAGATGGAGCATGATACTTCCATTACTAGTGGTTTAAGTTTAATTTGTAGGGTTTTTTTGTGGTACTGGGGATTGAATTCAGGGTCTCACACATGCTAGGCAAGTGCTCTACCACTAAGCCACTTACCCCCAGCCCACCTTAATCTTCTGTTGAGGTGGCACAACCTGCCCACATGCAACGTGGATTCTCCAGAGCAAGGTAAAGTAAGCAGAGAGCTCAAGGTTTGGTAGCCTTCTTTCAGGTCTTATACCCACCTTCCTGGAAAGTCACTTTTCTTGGCATTTTTTGCTTCTTAGGCATTTTTCTCTACCCATCCTAATATTTCTTTTGTTTTTTTTTTAAAGATTTATTTTTGAAATTTTGATTTATTTCTTTTTATTTTTTGTGTATGAGTGTTTTGCGCATATATATATATATATACTGCATGTATGAAGTACTTGCAGAGGCCAGAAGAGAAAGTTGGAGCCCCCAAAACCAGAGTTATGGATGGTCATTAGTCACCATGTGGATCCTGGGTATCAAACCTGGATTAGTCTGCATCCAGTGTTCTTAACCACTGAGCCATCTCTCCAGCCTCAGATTTAATTAATTAATTAATTAATTAATTAATTAATCAACTAACTTATTTATTTTTATGTATGCAAGTGTTTTGTCTATATGTTTATAAGTACACCATATGTGTGCAATGCTCACAGAGGCCAACCAGAAGAGGGCATTGTATTCCCTGGAATTGGTATTAGAGATGGTTGTTTGTCCCCATGTGGGTGCTGAGGACTGAACTCAGGTCTTTAGCAAGAGCAGTTAGTGCTCTTAACCGCTGAGCCATCTCTCCCGTCCTTTCATTTTTGTTTTTGAGGCAGGATCTCATGTATCCCAATCTGGTCTTGAACTCACTGTGTAGGTGAGGATCATCTTAAACTTCTGATCATCCTGTCTCCACCTCCCACCCCTTCCATTTTTTGTGTGGTGCTGGGGATTGTTGAACCCAGGGCTTTCAGAATGCTGGGTAAGCACTCTACCAACCTAGCCACATCCCCAGTCCCCAGTCTTTTTTTTTTTTTTGGGTATGTATATGTATGTTCCCATGTGTTTGGGGTTATGTGTGTGAGGTGCATGTACACGTGTGTATGCATGCATGTGGAGGCCCAAGGTTGACATCAGTTGTCTCCCTTGATAGCTCTCCTCTTATATATTGGGAGAATCTTTCTGATCCTGGGGCTTGCTGCTTTGTCTAGTTTGGTTAGCCAACTTGCTCCAGGGATTCCTTGTCTCTGCCTCCCTTGTGATTGCAGATGGGCCAGCACACCTGCCCTGTATCTACTGTGGGTTATCCCCTTATAACTGCTTTATCTGCTGAGCCACATCCCCGGCCCCAGACTGTTTTTCTCCCACTCTGTAGATGAAGATGTGAAAGTGGGGAAGGAGGATAGTCCTCATGATAATGTTTGCCTTCTGTGTTAAGGGCAAGGGCCTGCTTCAAAGCTCCAAAACATTGTCTACATGCTTAACACCAGAGCACATATTTTTCATGTTCTTTGGACAGATTTCCTTACAGAAGTAACACTGAAGATTGTGTCTGTAATTGTGAAATGTGATCGAGTGTCTTTTGTAGAATGGGATTTTCTCATAAAGATGATCTAAATGGCTTGTACTATTTTAAATAGTTCTCTTAGCACTGTTCTTCAGGCATGCTGTAAATAACCAGACTTTTGTGGGCCAACTGGGAATGTGACAATTTTAAATGTAGACAACTTGAATGAATTTTCTTGTACAATGTCACTTTACAAAGTTAATACTGGAATGCTTCCTGTTGACAAGGACATTGCATTTTCTTATACAATTTCACTTTATAAACTAATTTATAGATAGTTCGGTGTTTATAAGATAGCTTTTTATTTATTTATTTTTTTGTTTTGAATACTTTTCTCTGATAAATTCGCTCAGATTTATATCTGCACTTATGTAAGTCAGCATTGGACTTTTTTTTTCTTTTTTGAGACATGGTCTCACTGTGCAGACCAGGCTGGCCTCGAACTCACAGAGATTCACCTGCCTCTGCCTCTTGAATGCTGGGAGTAAATGTGAGCCATCATGCCCAGCTTTGTTATGTTTTTTTCTAAAAAATCTTTTTTTTTTTTGAGAGAGAGAGGGTCTCGCTATGTAGCCCTGGCTGACCTGGCACTCAGTATGTAGACCAGACTGGCCTTGAACTCACAGAGATCCATCTGCTTCTACATTTCAAATGCAGAGATTAAAGGCTTAAAGGCATGTGCCACCATGCCCAACTTCCTCTCTCTCTCTCTCTCTCTCTTTCTTCTCTCTCTTTCTTTCTTTCTTTCTTTCTTTCTTTCTTTCTTTCTTTCTTTCTTTCTTTCTTTCTTTCTTTCTTTTT